TCCTCCTGGCACCCCCAAATTCTAATGTTGGCACACTTGAAGTTGTTCCAGAGGCTCCTTACTCTATCCTCATTTTTTTGGATTCTTTTTTCTTTTTGCTGTTCTGCTTGGGTGTGTTTTGCTTCCTTATAGTCCAAATTGATGGTTTGCTTCTTGGCTTTACCTACTCTACTATTGAATCTGTGTAAATTATTCTTTATTTCAGCCCTGGCCAGTTTGGCTCAGCGGTTAGAGCGTCGGCCCACGGTCCAGAGAGATCCGGGTTCGGTTCCCGCTAAGGGCATGTACCTCAGTTGCAGTTTGTCCCCAGCCCTGGTTGGGTTGTGTGGGTGGCAGCCACTCGATGTGTCCCTTTCACATTGATGTTTCTCTCTCTCTCTCCCTCCCACTCTATCTGAACAAAATATCGAGAAATGTCCTCAGGTGAGGATAAAAAAAAATTAATACATTATTCTTTATTTCAGTTAGTGCCTCCTTCATTTCTGACTGCATCCTTCATTTCTGACTGCTTTTTTTTTTATGCTCTTGAGGCCCTCACTAAGTTCACTGAGGTTCTCACTAAGTCCATTGAGCATCCTTATAAGCAGTGTTTTGAACTCAGCATCTGTTAGGTTGCTTATCTCCATTTCGCTTAGTTCTTTTCCTGGGGTTTTGTTCTGTTCTTTCATTTGGGACCTGTTTCTTTGTCTCCTCATTTTGGCTGCCTCCTTGTGTTTATTTCTATGTATTATTTAACAAGAGGTATGGGGCTATCTAAGACCAGATGCTGCTTGTTTGAAAGAATTTAGAAAAACCTGAAGCAGGATCCAAGACAGGCCAATCCTATGGTTAAGCAACTGGCAACAGCTTGGGTGGGCCTGAAAGTTGGGTAGGCCTGAAAGTTGGGTGGGGTGGGGTGGGGCCTAAGGGAATCAGTGGGGGGGGGGGGGGGCGGCGCGCAACCAGTATGAGCTAGGTTGCTGGAGTCCCAGATATGGCGGCTGTCTGCCGTCCCAGGGAAGGTCTCATCAAAGGAACAAGGACCTCTGACAGCACGTCTATCCAGGAGAAAGCTGCCTCTCCAGCCCTCACTCCAATGCCAAACAACTCAGTTCTTCCCCATATAACTCTGGTGCCTTTCAAGCTGCCTCCCCCATGCTGGAGCCTGGAGGGTGTGAGTCTGAGTAAGTCTGTGTGCAGGTTCTTTAAGAGGAGCTGCCTGGGGCTCCAGCTGCCTCAGCCTCCTTCAGCCTCAGTTCTCGCTGGTTTTTCCAGCCAGAAGTTATGGGAACTTCTCTTCCTGGCACTGGGACTCTGAGCTGGGCACTTGGTGTGGGACGGGGACCCCTCAATCCTCAGAGAGGACCTTCCCAGCCAAGGTATCCTCCTAATTTTTATCCACCACATGGTGTGGGACCAGTCCATCGCCCCTCCGCCCCTCCTATCAGTCTCGATGTGGCTTCGTCTTTAATTTCATAGTTGTAGGACTTCCATTCAGCTTGATTACAGGTGGTTTTGAATGATGGTTGTTCTGTAGTTTAGTTGTAACTTTGATGTAGTTGTGGGAGGACGTGATACCACGTTTATCTACACTGCCATCTTGACTGGAAGTCCCAAGAGCACACATTTCTAAATTATAAATCAAATCCACAGACTTTTAAATTGTATGTGGGTTCCCAAAAGGAACATGTACAGAAGAGCCATAGGTTTCTCTGAGCTGCTTGGCTCTGAGGGAGCTAGAGTGAGCTCATGCTCTGTGGAAACGTCAGTAAGAACAGCACCACACCACCAGCAGTACCACTTCCCTGGGCCTGTCCTACAGAGAACCTAAGCCTTGCCCAGGTAAGGTAGCCTCTGCCAGTAACCTTGAAGCCTTTAATTTCAGGATCCCAGCCCAGTATACAGGCCAACCCACTGGACAGACTGTTGTCCAGCATGGATAACACATTTCTTTCTACAACCCCAGCCCTCTCTTCCTTTCCCTATGAACATGTGATAGTGCCAGCCCCAGTACCTATTCAGGGTAACGCTAATGAGAAACAGAGACTGACCCAGACGGAGTCACTGTCCACCCTATTTTCTTTTCTTTTTTTTATCCTCACCTGAGGATATTTTTCATTTTTTGTTCAGATAGAGTGTGAGTGAGGGAGGGAGGGAAGGAGGGAGGGAGGGAGGGAGGGGGAGAGAGAGAGAGAGAGAGAGAGAGAGAGAGAGAGAGAGAGAGAAACATCAACGTGAAAGGGACACATCGAGTGGCTGCCTCCCCCATGACTCAACTAGGGCTGGGGACAAACTGCAACCGAGGCACGTGCCCCCAGCACGAACCGAACCCGGGTCTCTCTGGACCGCAGGCCGACGCTCTAACCGCTGAGCCAAACAGGCCAGGGCAACTCTATTTTCTAATGTCACTGAAAGTGTCTGGTCCTGCCCCAGGCCAGGGATCTCTCTCGGACTGACAGCCACTTCTGGGGAAGTCGATTGTTTTTCTGACTTTCCTTGTGTGGTCCCTTGTTCCACAGGGCAGGGTTAAGGATTGAAGGTGTCAAGGGAAGGGCAAAAGAATTGAGGCTATGTGAGCTCAACATGGAGAGGGGAAGTCTCCTGAAGCAACTAGAAAATAAGTGGAGAGGAATTCCTTGCTCAGGGCCTGGCATTATTAGGAGAAAGAAGGAGACAGGGCTGAGTCCTCCGGGAAGTTCTGTGCCCCAGAGGAGGGACAGAGCCACTCTAACAGATTTGGCCTTCCCACCAGCTATATGTAGAAGGTTTGAATGGCTCCATCCCACTGATCTTAATCACTCTTCCTTGCTCACCTGGCTTTGATAACAAGGGTGCTCAAAGCTTTCCACCGTGAGGGGCTATGCTATGGAGGGAAGAGCAGTGATAACTAAAAGGGTGAAGTGCAGTTGGTTTAGTCGTTGCCTTGTACCAAGTTCTGCTAGTAGACACATTGGTCTTGAAGGGTCTTCCTGGCTCTAGACAAGCCTTGATTTTCCTCAGGCTCCACAACCACTTTTCCAGAAGAGGGGGCTTTACTCCTACAAGGTGGAGTTCCAGGGCTCAGTCAGTTCTCTCTCTGGGTTCCTCTAAGCCAGTGGTTCTCAACCTTCCTAATGTTGCTACCCTTTAAAACAGTTCCTCATGTTGTGGCGACCCCCAACCATAAAATTATTTTTGTTGCTATTTCATAACTGTAATTTTGCTATTGTTATGTCTTAGGTGACCCCTGTGAAAGGGTTGTTCGACCCCCAAAGTGGTCATGACCCACAGGTTGAGAACCGCTGCTCTAAGCCACACTGCCAGTCCCAGGAGGTGCTGAGCTGCTGCTTCCCTACTCATTGGATGGTTCTCTCACTTGTAGCTTAATAACTTAATAGCCTGGACCAATTTGCAATCCAGTTAAATTCTATTCACTAAGAGGATATTTTAGCAAGTGAAAGCCAGAAGGATTTTGGTTTCACTCCTATTATGCTCATTTAAGTAAGCTTTCAAATCAAACAAATTCTCCAAGGCTAGAGGAATCATTTTTAATGGTGGGAGAGGTAGAGCTCTCTGAAACTTCCCTGGGCAGTGCAAGGTGATGTGGTCAGCTAAATCAGGAGGAGCCCACAGCTGTCAGCAGTTAGGCAAGGCTCTGCTGTGGCCAGGTGTTGATCCTCCACCCTCTAATTCCCACCTCACCTCTCCCTGTCCTGAGCCACACTATTCCTCTACACCCCCATTCCCAAGATAATTTGGGTTCAAGGAAGGGACTGGGGCCACCTGGGGCAGGAACACCCCAGAACAGTCTGTGGGATGAGGGAATAAGCAGTTGTGCAAGTTTGTCGTGTTAACAGGGCCTTTAAGCCTTTTTCTAGCACCCTTGGGAGCTGCCCTCTACTGGGAAGGCACTCAGTCCCATCCAGCCTGCTAATCTGCAGGAAGAGGAGTTGGCTTCAAAGCCTCAGGCTTGTTATAGCTCTGGCCTAACACTCAGGAGAAAAGGTTAATCTAGAAACTCCCAGGAGTCCTCAGGACCAGAGAGGCCCCTTGCCCTCCTCCCAACCTGGGATGTTGAACAGGGAGGGAGTCAGCAAGGAAAAGACCCCTTCACTGTTGAATGCCCTGCTCACTTGCCAAAGCTTGATGTTGGGTGCCAGGCTCTATCACTGTCCATCCAGTCCCATTTTTGTTTTTTTAATCCTCACCCAAGGACATTTTTCCATTTTTTGTTCAGATAGAATGGGAAGGAGAGAGAGAGAGAAACATCGACGTGAAAGGGACACATCAAGTGGCTGCCTCCCACACGACCCAACCAGGGCCGGGGACAAACTGCAACCGAGGTATGTGCCCTTTGTGGGAACCAAACCCGGCTCTCTCTGGACCACAGGCCGACGCTCTAACCGCTGAGCCAGACCAGCCTGGGCTCCAGTCCCATTTTTGGAAATCATGTTAGGGCTTGCTATGTTAGAAAGAGCCTAGCTTGGGAGTCAAGTGGCATGGTTCTGGCTCCTGTTCTGCAGAATCCTCTTTACTTTCTGGGCCTCAGTTTCCTCAGCTATAAAATTAGGGAATTAGACTTCTACCCACTAAGGTTCTTCCTGCATTTTCTGATATTCTGAGCTAGAGCCCAAAATGACTCACCTTGGTAGCCCCTGGAGTGGGGGCCTGTCAGCAGGTTGACAATGGAGGCCAAGCACTGGGCCCCTGCCAACACTTGGCCCAGGCCAAATCTGCTGTCTCATCCCTCCTCCTGCTGTGAAAGCAGAGAGGCTAAGACTGAGGCCCTAACTGCAAGAAGGCAAGCAGTGATGTTAGGACTCTGGGTCAGGGCTGGGGTACAAGGCTTTGGATTTCCCTAAGGAGCATCTTCAGGCAGTCTGGCTCTGTGCTGATGGAAGAGACATGTTTTGTCTTTTTCTGGGCAGGGCTGCCAGGGGAAGGATCAGCAATGTGAGAGGCAGGGGGTGATGACACTGAGGGGTCAGCGGGGTGTGAATGTCATTATCCCCATTGTCATATACCTGACTAGGCCATATTGATACAAAAGGTGTCTTTATTGAGGTCTGGGTAAGAATTAGGCAATTGGCCAGAGCAGCAGCTTAAATATGAGGCAAGCAATCAGGGGTTGGTTAGCCATGCCTGGGGCTAGGTTGGGGTGATGAGGCTATAGGCACAAACTCTCCTCAAAAGGACAGAAGTCATGGAGAAAAGGGGAAGGGGACACAGAACAGTCTGGGTCAGAGGCCTGATGGGCTGGCCCCATGGGGCTGGGCAGGAAACTCTGGATGGCAGGTCCAGCAGGGAGGGAACCAGGCTCTCTCTTACTCCACATGCCCGTTAGGCCCAAGCCTAAGCCTCTGGCCAGGGCAGCCATGCTGGGGCGGGGGGTGGGAAGGCCATCCCAGGCCTCACTTCTTCACCTTGGCATCATAGGTGCCTGCATTCTTGTAGGCACTCACATAGCCACTGTCATCCAGGATGTCCTGCCGCCCAGCAATGCCTTTGCCCTTGCCGCTCTCGTCGAAGCGCTCCTTGTGGGAGCCTGTGTACTTGCTGGTGTCGGTCAGCCGTTCCACAGCACCCCCTGTTTTTGCTTTCTGTTTAGACAGAGTTCCCCCAGGAGTACCTGGTTAGGGAGCCCAGCCCTTCCCACCCCCCGCTGAGATTTCCCACATCCCCCTCAGTGTCTCTCTCAGACCAGCAGAGCACTTACGGTGACGCCCACATTGGCTGGTTCCTTGCCTGCAACCAACTGGCAGATGGCATCAAAGGCCTCCTCCTTGCTCTTCCCCTTGAATCGCTTGATTGCCAGTTCTTCCAGGGCCTTCTTGAACTCCTCATAGTTGATGACCCGAGCAGACTTCCCCCTGCCAGGTATGTGGGCACCATAAGTTTTCCCCCTTCTCAATGTCCTCCCTGTTTCCAGCCCCCCAATTCCCCACCTTCTGGGAACATCAGAAGCAGGGATTGCCTGGGGGCTCACTTGACTTTGGAGAAGACGATGTCGACGTCCGTTCCTGTCACAGCCTTTCCATCAGTCACCTTGCAGTCCTTGCACAGCTTGGCCCAGTTCTTGCCATTCATCTCTTGCCCACTGGCCTTGGGGTCACCATGGATGGCAAACTTGCGGAAGCTCTCCTCCAGCCCAGCCACATCTGTGCTTGCTGCCATGCCACCCTATAGGGACCCAGCCAAGCTGTTCCTCTCCTCCCCAAGGCACAGAATATCACTGCCACTACCTCAAACCCTGCAAGGTCTGAGTTGGGGGCACTTAGGCTACATACCCTCAAGATCTGGAACGGGAGCTGGAGCAGGAGCTGCCACCAGAGAGGGGCCAGCAGTCAGTGTCTCTCTGTGCCCCTGAGCCCTGAGGAAGAGCCCCAAAAGGAAAGGTCCTGTTGCTTAACACCAACCCTGGCTTGGAGTAGAGTTCAGAAGATGAAATCATGATGCCACACCAGGCTGGGAACAGAGTAGCACTGTCGAGAAAGACTGTGAGAGCAGCAGCTGGGACCATGGCTTTGTCTGGCCCTGGCAACAAAGCTTGCTTGGGTGGAAGTGAGGGTGGCAGAGAAGGCCTCCCTCCCTGGGAGTTCCATGCCAAGCTGGGTCAGGGCCAGGCTAGGCTGCTAGTTGGGCAGGTATTTAGTCAGGACAGTGCCTTTGTCAGGGTCATGAGGACCAAGCAACACTCAGCCCAGACTGAGAAGGGAGCCAGAGCACAGGCTGGGGTATGTGCCCTAGGCAGGGTGCAGCTGGCCCAGCTGGGACCTTGTTACTATTTGCTGTTAAACAAAAACATGAGGGGAGAGGGAGCCTGGGGCTGGTCTGGCCACAGTTTGTGAAGCCTGGAGACGGTTGCTAAGGGAGGGTGGTGCTACTTGGAGAATGTTGCTAAGGGCAGGATGGTGTCAGAGTGGCTCAGGGAGAAGCTCCCAGTGCTGCTGGGCTGGGCTGGGGAATGGGGGCCCATGGGTGGGGCACAGCAGCACTCCCAGCGCCTGGGGCACAGCCATGGCTTCCTGGCCCCTTGCCACCCATTAGGGCTGTAACCAATCTGTAACCAATCTGTGGAGTTTAGGAGGAGCAGGAGATTTGGGGACTAGCCTAGGTTAGGGATTGTAGAGTTATGAGCCCCTAGAGGCATGTTGGTGAGTGGGCCTGTGGCCTTGGCCTTGTGACCCTCACACCCACACCCTGCACTGAAGCATACTTCAACACCTTCAGCCCTCCACTGAGGCCCCTTGGCCACACCCTGAGCACTGCCACACCAGCCCACATTCCCACAGTCCTATGTATTCAGCCCAGGCCCTCCACACCCTCAGCCTTACCCCCCCTGTCCCCCCCCATCCCCCCCCCCCACACACACCCCCTTCACCTGGTACTCAGACCTCCCTAACCACACCCACAGCCCTCAGACTGAGGGCTTGGACCATTCTCTCAGCATCCACCCTTGACATATATACTAACAGTACTGTACTAAAGACTTCCCCAATTATACCCTCAGTGCTGCAATGAAGGGTCCCCCAATATTCTCACAGTCCCCCTGCAATCCTCTGACCCACACCCACAGTTCTGCACTGTGTAACCTAACACAGCCCTGTACTGATGCATCCCTGACCACACCCTCAGCCCTGCACTGCAGCCACCTCCATCCACACTCCCACAGTCCTTCTGAGACCTCCTAACCAAAGCCTTACAAATCACCTCAACTCAGCCCTGATCACACTCATATACCACCTGCCCCACCCACACACCCACAATCTTCTGGCCACAGTTTCAGCCCTGCACTGAAGCCCCCAGCCCCCACCCAGTTGTCACACCCACAGACTTGCATTTTCAGACTCCCAAGTACTATGTTGGGACTCCCCCATACCTGTATTGAGAACCCCCCTAAGCACACCCACCTCCTCCACTACAGCCTGCTGACCACAGTCATGTATTTAGCAACCATCCTATAACTCTGCCTTTTATATTAGAGCCTTCAGTGACCATAGCCTGGGTCTCTGCTTGACCTGACTACCCCCTCTTCCACTACCACTGACCAGTGACCACACTCACCTATCCCTAAATTGCAGTTTCTGGGACTGGGAGCACCCACAACTGCTACATTGCAGCAACTCTGTCCACAATCCCAGTCCACACTGCACTAACCTTCCCTCTCCTTACACTTGCAACTTCTCACCAGAGACCCAGCACTTGGTTCATGAAGGGTAAAGTCTAGGGGAGCTTTCCTGCCACTGAATCTTTGCTCTAGGGAACTGGCAGGTTCCTGCATCCAGTCAGTGCTCACTCCTTTCTGTGGGAAGATGGATTCTTGGTAATTTGGGGGATGATCAGATAGAGCCAGGTCACTGGCTGTAATCCCAGGGGTCTACAGCAGCCACGCCCGTGAACTGGGGCCATCAGCTTGCTCCGACTGAGACAGCTGGAATCATCAATCAGCCCAGCAACAAGGTGGGGGTGGGGATGGAACGCTCTGACCCTGGGCAGAGCTGCTCAGCTGGTGTCCTCAGCTCTGTACCCTCCAGAATTGGGACCCCTTCCAGGCTGTCCCACCCCCGCCCCCTTCCTTTTATTGTGCAGGATACTGATTAGGATGGTCAGCGCCCGGGTCTCCTACCGATTTCTACCTGGTGGCTGCTCCTGCAGTGCACGTTCGATGGACAGAAGGACACAAGAATGGACCCACAGACGCAGGAGACCAGGCGGCTCCACAGCTCTGCTCCCTGCCGGCTCCGGAGCAGGACTGCAGGCGGGGCAGCTCTGCTGTATTATCCCCTGTTTCTCTGTCTCCATAGAGACAGCGAGTCCCACCCCCAGGGCTGTCTCGGCAGAGAATGACCAAGGTCATGCTCGCTCCACCCACCGGACTCCGCCCCATTGGCTAGGGCGGAGCTGCCGCGATAGCCTCTGTTGTTTGCGGCCCGGGAGGCCAGCCCTCCGCAGTTCTGGACGACCTCCGATGGTTCCCGAATGGGAAAGCAGACCCCCATTCTGGGCTCCCCCTAAGTGCAAAGCGGGCCTTGGCCTCCAAGAGAGATCCAGCTTCCCAGAGCCGCTACCGAGGGGGGAGGGGGACGATGACTGGGAGGGAGAGAGGAGGAGCAGAGGATCCGGGAAGTCCCCTCCCTCAGTGACAGTGGTTAGTGGAGCCTAGAGCTGGCTCAAGACCACGGTTCACCAATTAACATGTGGCATCCCTAGGTCACAAGTCAGGAGCACTGGGAAGAGGGGACAATGGGCAAATCAAGAGTTCCCAGCTCCAGCATCCTGGTACCCCCAAAACTATCGGGCCACCAGGAAAAAGCTCCTGGACCTACCAGGTCTCTGCTCTCGCTGCTGCCTCCGGAACCAAAGCCTTCTTCCCCTTATGTCTACAAGCTGAAATTCTTATCTTCGAGAAAAATAACCTCCTCCAAACAGCCTTCTAGGATCTTTCCTAACCAGGAGCACTATGCCTGAGAGCCTCGGGTCCTCGTTTACCTACATAAGACAATCTAGGCGGCCATCCACTATAAGGAGGCCCACCCCATTCATTCTCTGCCCCTAGGCCAAGGGGCAATGATCCAACTCCAGGAGGGCACATGGCCCTTGCTATTTAAAAAAAGTATCCAGTAAGTCCGCAAAAGCATTAAAAAATTTTTATTGGAGTAACAGGGCCGGTGGGGTGCATACTGCTTAGTTGTGGGGGAGGTAGACTGATCCTACCGGCTGTAAGGGCTCCGTAAGTACACTCAGTAGGCGAGGGTGTGGGTGTTGCACAGAATTGGGCCAGCCGCTCCACCTCTGCCCTCCTGCCTCTCTGCCCAGCTAAGCCTCTGGGCTGTCCGGCGCCCTGGGCTCACCACTGCTTGGGCTCACGAAAACAGCAGGAGCGTGAACCTGCAGCGCCAGCCCCGGCTCTCTGCCCCTGTCTCCGAGATTGGCCAGAGCGGCGCTGCCCAGATGCGTCTGAGCCACAGGAATTTCGTCCATGGACTCGGCTGAGGCCGCGTGGTAGGCGCCTGCAGGGCCAGCTGCGTGCACCGGGCTAGCGCCCGAAGAATCCGACGAGGAGCTGGAGTGGTGGCCTGGGGCCCGGGGCCCTGCGAGGGTGGAGGGAAACGTGAAACTAGGGGCTACGACTCGCTGGGGCCCCTACCTTTCCTTCCCTTGGAGCTCCCGGTGCAGGATCCAGTCAGGAAGGGCCCTCACCCGGCTTCCTCTTTTTCTGCAGAGACAGCGGGGAGCCTGAGTGTGCTCCTTCCCCTGGTTCCTCATGGCCAAAAGAGGCAGAGGAGTGAGGCAGGGTAGAGGCTTCTTTCCCATTCCCTTCCAGCCCCAGGGCAAGGGTCCCAGCACAACACCCCCTACCTGGGGTCGAATCCTGGGGGGCAAAGCAAGAGTCTCTGGGGAGGAGGGTGGTGGAGGGTCCACTTGGCCGCTGTTGGCAAGGAACCGGGAGAGACTGATGGGGAAGCAGGAGGGTAAGCTCTGGATGAGGATGATTCCTCAAATTCCACCCTGCTAGAGGTCCTCAAATAAGCCTCTCTCCCCAGCAGGCACTAGATGGGCATTAATCTGTCCTTGCCTTGGCCTTGGCCTTGGCCTACCCCTTTTCTCCCACTTTTGATGGCCCTGCCATGCCAATGGGAGATGCCCAGCTGACACATGTCCAGATCACACTCACTTGGCACTCACTGCAGCAGGTCTGGCCTGGCCAGAGGGCTCTGGGCGCACATGGCTGAAGGTCTGCATATAGAACTCCATCTCCTGGGGAAGGTGGGGGTCAGGGAGGCTGGGTGACCAGGTGTGGATCCAGAGCCTCTAGATCCTGAGCCCACCCAGTCCTGGACACAGCACCTTCCCCCAGGCTTCTGTAGGAAGTCTGGGTACAGAGGTCTGTTGTTCTCCAGGCTTCCCAGCTATGCTGGAAAAACCTCTCTGCAGAATGAGGCTTAAAACACCCATTTCTGGACTTGACTCCAATCCCACAGACTTCCTCACTTTATCTAGTCAAACTTTACTTCCTCCAGGAAGTCCCCCAGCCTCATAAATCCAATGTACCCAGTCTAAATCTGCTTTGGACAAGGTGGGTGATGGGGAAGAGGTGCTCAGATCTGCCCTCTCCTGTTCCTAGTCCCTCCCAGGACTCCAGTTTCTGAACTGATATTTTCCCCAGCTGAGACACTGAGTAGTTGGCTCTTCACAGGCCAGGTGGGCACTCAAGGTTGTTTGCATGGAGGAGCTGAATCCTCAGAGTACCAACCCAGTCTTGGCTGCTGGGGAATGCTCCGTCTCCCCAATCTCTAATCTGGAAGGGAAGGCAATGGGTGGTGGAAAAAACAGCATCGAAACCCCATCCGGGACCAAGCTTATGGGTAAATTCTGTCTTGTTTAGTAGCTGATCCTAACAGTGACCCTGGGAGTTGCAGATCCAACTCCTGAAAGCAAAGGGGCTTGAGGCCCAGATGTCAGATGTCACAGGAGTGGCCTAGTCCTGCAGCCCAACATGCAGGACGTGCTCCAGCTGCACCCACAAAGACTGCAGGTGAGGAAACAAGAGCCAGGAAAAAGCCAGCCAGGGTAGGCCTGGTGCCAAGGATGTAGGGCGGGGCCTTGACCTGGCCCACCCCATCTGGTACAGGAAGGGCACCCAGACAGCTGCTCTGCAGCTGTTTCTATGGAGACCCAGGCGTCCTGACTAATGCAGAGCCGACAATGTAATAGCAAACTCCGTCTCTAAAACAAGCCTATGTTTGGGGGCAACGGATCCAGAATGGGGCCCCTCCTGCATTCCTGCTCAGGATGGGGGTGGGGAGGCTGCCTGGGGCACTGGCAGATCTAGGGGACTGAGCCTAGCCGGCCACAGGCTGGCTGCACAAATGTAGAGATTGATGCCTCAGCAAACTCCATGCACAACCTCTGCCCAGGCTGGCCCTTTTGGGAAAAGTGTCGGGGTGCCAGCCTAAGCAGAGGAGCCCTGGGAAAGAGGAAGGGGTCTGAGACCAGTCACAAGGACTGGGATCTCAAGGTAATCCTCCCTCTATATCTTTCCTCTTCCCCACTGTGGAGCAAGCACCCCTCCAAGGGCCCTGCAGAGAGGAGTAAAGCCTACCCTGGTGTCCCTGGGCTCCAGAAGGGTTGGGCAGAGGAAGCTGGCAGCAGTAGAGGATGGTCCCAGATGCCTGAGTGGCCAGGATGGAACAGGAGCTAGGCCCTAGCCAGCTGGGAAAGTCTGAGGGTGTCACCAGGGTGTCCCCATTCAAATCCTTCTCCCCTCACCACAGCTGTACCTAGGATCCTTCCTCAGAGATCTTCAACATTTGTACATTCCTGAATGGTACTGTGGCACTTCTCAGTGTCTGCTCTCTCTTCTGCACATCCCTCCTCCCACTGAGGAGGCCTCCCTCAGGTTATTTACATTTGATATTAAAAGTCCTTGCTGCTATCTGGCCCCAAAGTCTAGGTAGGCAGTGACTACACGGCAGGGCCCCGAGCCCCAGAGCCCCAGAGCCTGGACATCCCAGGGCCAGGCCTGCCTCAGTGGTCACTGCTGTGTAGCTTGGACTTCAGAATCCTCTATGAAGTGGGGGTGGGAATGATGCCTACTCAGAATGGCTGTCACTGTGCTTACACAGTATCAGTGCCCAGCATCAGAGCCGGTACACAGTAGTGTGGCAGGGGGTTCTCCACTAACAGCCAGCACTCCCCCCAGATCTGGCAGCCTGACCCACTCCTGGCAATGAGAACAGGAGAGGTGGGGTCCCAGTTCCTCTCCCAACCCACCCACCAGCCTGTGTTTGTGTCTAGTTGCCATGAAGACTTGGGCTCCAGGGCTCAGCCTTCCCAACAAGGGCCTGTCTGGGCCCCCTTCCTTCCCAGTCCCTGGGGGTTCTAAGGATTCCCCTCCCCCCCGCTGCTGACCTCAGGAAGCCATTGGGCATGGGAATGGGGATAAGCTGGCCAACAGCTGGGCTGGCCAGGCCCTAGCCTGGGCTCGAGGGCTCCTGCTTCAGAGTGTAGAGACCTTAACTCTTCCGAGACCCAGTTTCTGTTTAAACTTTCTTGGCCTCAATATGCTCATGTGCAACATGGATGTGGCAACATTATCTGCCTCATAGGCTGTTTTAAGGATTAAATAGGGTAATAGGTATATGGGCTCAGGGTCATATGTGCAGATAACTAGTGACCACCTCAGTCACTGGTCCATTCCTCTCTTCCTCTGCAGCCTAATCTGCCTGCTTCTAGGCTCCCACATTCCAGACCCTCCAGCTCATGATTGGAGCCTGGACCGGTGCATACATGGGGTTATGGAAATGCAGGGCTCCTTTGTGCTGAGCCCACACTTCAGCAAGCAGGCATGTGCTCAGTACAGGCTTGGCTTCACCCCTGCTGCCCAGCACCCCACTCCAGCTGTGGTTCCAGACCTGCTTGCCCTTTCTCACCATCAGCTGCTATCTGCACAGCCCACCACCCCTTCCACACCCAGGCCCCATCTCCTATGCCCCCCGCCCCAGTCCTCTGGGCCACTTCTATACCTGAATGGGCCGCATCTTGGGGGGACATGACTGGAGCTGCCTGTGGGCCCTTTCTGCCTCCTGTGGTGGATGATGCTGCACGATGTACTCATAGGTGGTGAGCTTGTGCCACACTGAGGAGGTGAGGGGAGGGCTCAGTACAGTGGAAAGGGGACCCTGGAATTCAGAAGGGGAGGAAGGGTACCCAGTCCCAGGCTGAAACTACTGTCCCCATATACACTAAGCCATGGAGTGAGACCAGGCCACCACAAAGAGCCAGCAGGAAGGGGTACAGTTTCAGGGCTCTACAGCCCAAGTGGCATCTCCTTGCAACCTAGGAACCCCTATCCCCTGCAAGGCAGGTATAGAAGTGTGTGGGGATGTCGGGGGGATACTTACTGAGATAAATGTGGAAGCAGAACAGGTGGCCAAGCAGGGCTGTGGAGAGCAGGCCCAGAAGGATGAGTAGGGCAGCCAGGACCAGGATAGCAGGAGCCTGGGTCTCCACAGGGGCAGCAGGTAGAAACACAAACCACACATCCGTGTGATTCTTCAGGACTGCAAAGCACATACAGACTGTGCTTAGCTAGGGCTGTGACCAGTGACCAGGACAGGCCCAGGGTTGAGGGGTGGGAACAGACTTGGAACCAAGACTGACCTTCAAAGTGGTGGTTGGTACGCAATCGCATGGGATTGACAAAGAACTCCACGAAAACATAAGTGGCCACCAACACGAGGAGCAGGACACCCAGTAAAGCCGATGCCACACTGTGTAGAAAGAGCCTGGGCCCAGCCATGGGCAGCTGTCAGCACCCGGGTGCTCCAGCTGGGTAAGGGCCCAGAGCTCAGAAGGACCCATGGTTGGGATGGGGAGCAAGGCCTCTGATCCTACAGCTCCAACTTTTCACAAAGCCAAAGTCTTGGGGCAAAAGTGAAGATGGGGGCCACCCCTTCAGATCCCCACTTTTCTCTGGTCCAGCAGAGGGAAGAGCTCAAACCTACCCTCAGCAATCCCAGAAGGCAGCCATCAGGAGCACACATAGATGCACAACAGTACCCAGGTCCAAGAATCCTCATCCCCACCCCGCCCTGCCCCACCCGACTGCAGTCTCTGTATTCTGACTCACACATTTATACCCGCTCATCCCCAGGCACCCACGCAGCCCGGATCCACTCTCACCGGTAGTTCCTTTCTCCGACACAGTTGTTGAGCCACTTGCAGTGGTGGTCGAAGCCGCACACACACTTGTTGCAGGCACTGCAGTGCTTGGAACGAGCGCTCCTGCAGGAGGGGAGTGGCACAGTGCGGTTGGCCCGCTCATCCTCCCCTTCGCGGCAGAGCCTGGCTGGAGCACTGGGCGTCAGTCCGCGGAGGGGTCTCCTGGCCTGGAAAGGGTTACCCACTGGGCTCCTCCAAGGGACCGCTGAGCTCCGAGCTCGGCGCCAAGGAGCGTTCGCGCCCTCTGGTGGCACAGAAGGGAGGGCACCCGGAGAAGGTGGCGTTTCTGAAGAGCCAGTACCCGAGGTGGGAGATGGGGTAGGGGATATTGCATTGTTCCACTCAGGGACTGCGCAACGGTGACGGTGGTGTGACACGGAAATGGGGCTTCCTTCCCAAGCAAGGACCCCTGCGCTGAACAAGGAGACAAAGCAGGTGAGGGGCCAGGGAGCAGAAGAGAGCAAGGCTGACAGACCCAGGACCCGCACTGGTCTTCCTGACATCTCCATTTTTTGAGTGCCTGTTTCTCTGCCAGTCTATGGGAATTATACTGGCATTGTTCCAGAAAACCTCGGCTTGTCTCGGCTCATCCAAAGGGAGCCAAAAGAAGAGCAGCAAGATGGCATCTGGGTGAACTTAGGGCAGTTCACTGCAGATAAGGTGAGGCCACATTAGGAATGTGAGTATTTCAGCCCCAGGGGACTCGGGAAGCCCAAAGGAGTATGGAAGAGTGGGGAGCGCTCTCCCAGAACTGGACAGAGCCCTGGAATGGGCAGCAACTTCCAGAGCACCCACGGAAGAAAAACACACTGACTAGTATCTAGTGAAGGAAAAGGGTCTGATGCTGAAGTCCTCAGCACCTTAATGCCATGGACTCTCAGTCCCGTGGGCTGCCTGAGTCCAGATTAGAAGTGTGGGGCTGGCCTTGGACCACACCCCCATGCCCAATCCTCTACCGGAGTCTGGGAGACTGGAAGCTCTGGAAGGATGGGGAGAGGTCTAGGGAGGCGGTCTGGACCAGCCAAGGAGGTATGGGCTCTGCACATTCTGACTCATCTCCCCACTAGCAGTGTGACGTGGAGCAAGTCACTTGGCCTTTCTGGGCCTCAGAGTCCTCATGGGCAGATGAGAATAACAGTATGAGCTGGGAAACTAGGCAGGTTGGTAGTGAATCTCACTCTGTTACCCAAGAGCCACATGACCTCAGACAAGCCGTTCACCTTTCTGAGCTTTGGGCTCTTCCTCCTCTGTGAGGAAAGATGCTGCCCACCCTGCAGGGTGGTTGTTCATAACCACTTGGCACACAGTAAGTACTCAAGTGTTAACTCCCCTCCCTGTCCCTATCTGGGAATGCTTGTGAGATTGGGGTGTGTGTGGGGGGGAGTGACTGGTAGAGTTAGTCATTAGAAATGTTTATGGGTTTATGGTCATGCCACATGTTTCCTTTTACTTTTTTCATCATCTTCCTTTTCCAATTACCTTCTCCTCACCTTCTTCTTCACCCAGTTCTCTGTTACTCCATCACCTGTGTTATCAGGATGACTGTAAAGCCCTGGGCATGCTCCTCTTTGCCTTGAACTCCCACTGACAGTTCCCCAGGCATACTCATCACCCACACACCCTCAGTCCACATGACTCACACATCCACGTCGCACAAATTGCAGTGCAGGTCTTCAATGACATGTGCATGTTGGCTGCGGTTGAAGATGGGCAAGGGCCCCGCATAACTCTTGTCCCGCACATTGGCATCTGCCGGATCGATGGAGACAGCAGTCAGGTGCACCACGAGGTGGCCAGCAAAGATGGCGCCCATGCACTGGCCCAACACGTTAAAGACTCACTCCATACTCTGCCAGCTGAGAGCCCCACCCCTGCTTCCGGTGGCCAGAGAACAGTTCCCCACCTCCATGTAACTCCCTGGCATGGAGACTCTTAGTCTGTGCCACACCCTGCCTCCAGGTCCCAAGAGCTTCCTTGTCAGACCTCTCCAGTGTATCCAGCCCCAGATGCAAGAGCGGAGCAGCCATTATGGTAACAGAGTTAACAAGGCAGCACTGCCTGAGGCTGACGAGGGACCCAAACACAGGGCTGTGGCCTCACTGTTCTAAGCCTGGCACAGGCCCTAGCTGGTCTGGCCTCCAATTCTGATCTGGTTTCAGATTCTAAATGGTGAAGTGAGACTGAAAGAGATCATCCTGTAAGATCGAGGGACCCAAAATATAAGTTCTAAGCTTGTTAGTCTTGCTTTCATTGGAAGTCTGCTCTGAGAGGGAAAAAGCAATCCTTTCTCAGTAGCCAGGCCAGACAGAAAATCACTTGCAGACAGGGCCTCATACACCTTCCACCTCCCTGACCTGGAGTCCAGGTACTTGGTACCCTGGGGCTGAGCAACTAGGATGTTCCGACACATTCAGGGCCTGACCAGAGACAGCATATCTACTTCCTGGAGCTGAAACAGCCTTCCAGGACCTATCTGCTCAGTGATTGGACCAAATGCTAGAGATAAGTATGGTGACAACTTGCTGCAAAGTCTAAATGTGTAAAAATTCACTAAAAGATTCCATGCAGGCAGCCATCTACCCTCCATTCATCCATCCTCTTGCTAGCCAGGCAGACATCATCCCTCCATCATTCATCTTCCATCCATCAGCTGTCCATCCTCCTTTCCTCTCTTCCTCCTCCTCCTCCCAGAGGCCAAATTTCCCTACTTGTCTGCTCTGCCCTAACGTGCTGTACCATAGTTGAAAGAGACAATCCTGTGACCCATGAAAACCCCTCTACAGCCTTGGCTGTGGGTCTGGCCTTTGCTCTCGCCTGGGTTATTCCATAGTCTTTCAACTCTGTTCCTCCTCTTGGGTCCCCTTGAGTCTGCCCTTCACTTGGTCCCAAAGTGAGCTTTGAAGATCTTAAACCTGAAGTCTTGCCTGCTTAAAATCCTACTCTGGCTTTCAGTGGTCCTCAAGCTCTTCAGTTCAGTGCTGGGGCCCCTTTTGCTCTGGCTCCTCTCAAACCTCTCTAGTATCACCAACTACTCCTCCTTACCATTCCAGCCTCTCTTCAGACACACTGAATGTGGGCAAACATTTGGTTTCCTGCCTGCTCTAATACTTCTCCCGCCCCTATACCCTGGTTCATTCACCCAACTGTTTACAGAGGTATTTCTCTATGCCAAGCACTGAGGAATATAGCAGGAGCAGGACAGGTGCTGTCCTTAACCCCAAGGAACCTACAGTCTGGTGGGAAACAGAAATGTTCATCAAATAAATGGTTGATTACAATGAAGAAAGTTCATGGGACTGTTTAAGTTTGTGTGACCTCAACTAGCCTGAAGGGATCCAGAAAGCTTCCCTAAAAAAGTATCACCTCAGCTGAGACTTGAAGAGGAATGGATAACAGGGACCTAGCAGGTAATGTAAGGAGGAAAGGAGGCCTGGCTGGTTACTGGGAGCAAGTAGAGTCCCAACCAGAGGGGTGGTTCCAGCTCAGCTCATGGCTGCCATGGAAGAATGAGGGAGAAAAAAAGAATGAGGGCCCATGTCACCAAATTCTGGTTTTTCAAAAGGAATCAGAAATCTGGATTTTTATGTGAGGTCTCTCATTTCAAATGTTGACAAGGAAATAAATTATTTTTTAAAACCCACCTGCTGAAGGAACACTTGAAGATCTGTCCATTTTGTGTGCTAATCATCCCTTAATTTTAAAAAAATCTGTAGGCCAAATTGATTCACGGGGTGTCGGTTCCTGACTTCTGATTTAGCTGGGTGTTAGGGTGGAGAGAGGCAGAGATCAATGTCACAACAGAGAACAACAGAGGAAATAATATAAGAGGAGACGGGGGAGATGGGCAGAGGCCAGAACATAGCCTAAGCATCTTGAATCTCATTCCTTAAGGCAGGAAGCCATCAGAGGGTATTTGGCTGGGGAGAAACTTTATCCTATTTGTTTTTTTGAAAGGGCACTGTGGCTACAGGGACACAGATGGACAGGCCAGAGTGAGAGTGTGTGTGGGGAGACTATTTTGGCAACAAAATGGTCCTCTAGATAAGAGAGGCAGATGGGAATGGGAGAAAAGAGGGCGATTCAGTAACTATTTAGGAGGTAAAATCAACAGAACTTGACTGACTGGATCAGGTGATGAAGGAAAGGAGTGGCGTTAAGAGCAACTGGACAGGTGGGTTAGGCTCTGGAGGAGTTGTGAGCAGCAGATGGGCATCTGGGCCTGTGGTGATTTTGGTCTGGATGGTCCATCTCCTGCATGCACAGTATGCTGGATGAGCCTCTACTCCCATCCATATTTACCACAGGATAATCTCCAGTCCACAAGACTTTCTTCAGCTGGAGGCTGAGCACCCCAGAGCTGGGACCCTGTCTTGCTAATCTTTGCAACCCTAGGTCCCAGGCTAGATCCAGGCCCAAGGTGGCTACTTGGTACACATTATTATCCTACCTCATTCCTTGGAGTCCTGAAGGAGCCTGCTGAAGGAAGGTGGCTTTGATGGAAGGAGGGAGAACAATCCAGGCTTGGAAATAGGGTACCAGACGTGGTGGCTCTGTGAGCCTCCACACTGCCCAAAGCAATGAATGTGGAGAGGACAAAACCCTCAAACCCTCAAACCATCCCGGTTCCTCAGATTTGGGGTGTATGAGCAGCTCTGCTGGCCTCACTAGGTGCCAGCCATGTGAACTCAGGAAGTCAATCTCTCTGAACCCCGATTTCTTAGTAAAGTGGGAAGAATACCTTCAAGTATTATGAGGATCAAATACAATAATCCGTGTACAGGGGTTGGCATAGGGCCTGGTACATATAAGTGTTCAACAAGTGATAGTTACTCTTGTTTACTGTTACTTGTTCTGATTGCACTCTCCAAACCACAGGGCAGAAACCCAGGTAATCCTGAGTGAGGTGTGTGCCCATTCCAGATCATGAGAGGAATATTCCATGAAGCATTCTAGTTAATAGCCCTGACTATGACCTGGACAATGGGAAAGTCCAGTTTCCCATTTACAGAGTTGATGACTAGGCCAGGAGGCCTAGTGAGCCAGGAAGCCCCCCAATGGCAGTGCTGATATCTGAGGATGGCAACCTTCTCTAAAGTCCTTCTCCACACACTTGTCCTTGTCACTCACCAGCCCAGGAAATCTGTGATTTCCCATGGGAGCATGCTCACACATACGGCTCATGCATTCTGCTGCTCAGACACACATCCTTGCATGCTCCTTGTGTCCCCCCCCCCCCCCCCCCCCGGAAAGCAGGCAGGACTCTTCCTGTCAGACAGAGGAGGAAGCTGAGAACTGGAGAGCTGGCAGAAGCTGCCCAGCCTTCTGTAGCCCTGAAAGGGCTGAGCTGGGACATAGCTCCGCTACTGACTCTATGTCTGAGGGATTCAAGTTCAACCCTGCTAATCTCCTTTAGCTCACTCTAGCCCTCCCCCCTGAGAGGCCCAAGGAATCATTTCCATGAATCACACACACCAGGGCACATTCACATGGCACCCTCGGACAGGGCACATGGCTGCCTGCTGCATTCCAATCTCTCGGCCTTGCAGCCACGTCCTCTATTCCTGGGAGTTGTGGCTAGAGCTGGGGCAGTCACACCACTAGGCTCACGCAAGTTCATGTCACTGTTCCCAGGAGCTTCCAGGGCATCTTTATACCTCCCCTTGTCAATTCAACTTCACCCTAAAAGGGCATGATATGTAAAATCAATATGCTCCTAAACAGTCCTGGGACAGTATAATAATCTGTCTAAAGTAAAACCACATTTCAAATGTACCAGAAAACTTACTATGTAAAAGAATTCTACCATGCTCTTTTTTGATAAGTGAAAAATTATTTCATAAATATAATAATTACTCTCTAATTTATCCCTTGCTGAGCTCTAGACAAAATTAAAGAGAGCTTTCAAGCGGTACCTTGGTTGATGAGGTTCCCTTCTGTGTGGGGCTTTAAATGCTCCAAGGCACTTTAAGTCTGTCAGCTCATCACATGGGACAGAGGGGTCAGGTGGAGGTTGGAGGCCAGGCAGGCAAGCAGCCAGTCCTTTAGGAAGAGACAGGGCCTGCCTGTGCTTTCTGAGGCTCTGGGGCCCAGCTGCAGGCCTCTGCCATGTCCTACATCTACTGCCCCCACAATCCACGCACCAGCCCTACTTTCCCAAGGATACAGCATAGCCAGTGGGCACCCAGTGGTGAGGCAGGAGGGGAACAAGGACCCCAAAGCCAATCACAGCAAAGAAGATGTACAGCAGCCAGGCCACAATCTGGAGTGGGTGAGGAGGCCAACTCCACCCATTCCGGCGGGACCGCTGGCCCTGCAGCTCTGGGGAGGGTCCGCTGGCCTGTGCAGGTGCAGTCCACACACTCTTCTCAGGGGCTGTCTTGTTGGAGGGCTTGTTGCAGATGTTCATCTCCAGAGGGAGAAAAAGTAGAGAAAGCATTAATCTGAGGAGGCCTGGGCTGGAGCCCAGAGCCTATGCATCTAGCTTTCAGCAGGAGGGAAGCAGGATGGGACATAAAGCCATCTCCCAGCTATTCTGCAGGGGAACCCAGTGCCCTAGCAGGATAAAGGTAGGCAGCAGGGAAGGGTGGTAGTGGACTGTTGGTCTCAAAGCCCCAGGGCTTTAGCCCAGGCCCTGGCCAGTACAAGGTAGGAGTGTCCAGGGTTTATTCAGGACACAGTGTGGCTGCCTGTTACTCAAAGTGTTCTGTCTCCACAGCCATCAAAGTTAAATCCAATAAGACATGTTCTCATCTGGGAACAATATCAGGCTGGGGCCAGACCGATGAGAACACATGCGATTCTGTTACAATTAGTCACCTCTGTTCTGTGGCCCAAATGCAAGTGTCAGAGAGGGGCCCCTTACCATTTACTAAGGGAAACAGGGAGTGGAGTTGTTCAGAAGGGGGATCTGGCCTCTGCTCCTCAGCAAGCATGCAATCCCTTTAGGACTGGGGGGGACCTTAAACTGTCTCCCCTGTGCCTTAGAAGGGCTGCCTGAGGCTTCTTGGTTGGGGAGGAGCCAACACGTGAGTTTCTTTAAGTAAAATCTGGGCCTAGTGCACTGAGAACAGAAAGGTGGGCTGACCTGAGGGAGCTCAGGGAAGACCAAGACTCAGCCAGAGTGTGCCACCAGATGGCAGCACTCCCCTATCCACCAACCTTAGGCCCAAGAGGGGGCCTAGTGGCCAAAGTTACACACAGGGCAGGCAGGGTGGGCTCGTCCTTACAGGAAGAAGAGCCTCATCCTAGTTTCTTCCCAGCCTGAGATGTAAAAAGAGCAGTACCATACTTGGGGAGACAGGCCAACTTGGAGCTTATTTTTTATTTTTTCTTTATTGACTTTAGAGAGAGGAAGGGAGAGGGAGAGAGATGGAAACATCGATGAGAAAGAACTTTGATTGGCCGCCTCCTGCATGCCCCCCACTGGGGATTTGGCCCACAACCTGGGCATGTGCCCTGACTGGGAATCAACCCGGTGACCTCTTGGTGTATGGGTCAATACTCAACCACTGAGCCACACCGGCTGGGCTTAGATCTTTTGGTGAAAAGGCCAGGAGTCCATGCCTATTGGCCTTCCTAACTTCTCAGCCCAACAAAATGTTATTTGACCTGTAAGGCCCACTGAAAGCATCTCCTCAGCCAGGGGTATCCCAAGTGGAGTCAGGGACTTCATGCTCAGTCTTTACTGAGCAAGTCATTGCTATTTGGAACACTCTGCCATCCTCGTATCCATCTGCCCCCTATCACTCCAGCTTCCCTTAAGAGCAGCAAATGTGTTGTGATTAGTTCACCTCTGTTCCCCACATCCCCTTCCCAAGTACCCAGAACATACCTTGTACATAGAAGGTACTCAGTAAATGTTTGCTGACTTGAGAACATCTGAAATAGAAGGAAATGTGGGCATGGTACATGGTGTGGAATCCTGGTCACACTGAAGCCATCTGACCCACTCTGCTCTGCTTTCAATCTGCACAACTACCATGCACCTACAACTCCCCTGTTCCACACAGGCACCATGCATCCATACCTCTTCCACCCCAGCTCCCCCTGCCCACTGGCTATTACCCTGTCTGCTAAACACTCTCACTTAGCTACTCTGCCCTTTATCCTGCCCAAGGCTCACAGCCTCCTGAAAGCCAAACCTGGCATATCTGAAGCCACCTCTCAGCAGCCTCATCCCAAAGCTAAATGAAGTAACCTTAGTTTTCTTCCAGGGACTCAACTGGAATCCTTTGATCATTTGCTTTATCTTCAGTAAGAAGCAGCAAAAGGTGAAAAGAGTCCCAGCTTTGGAGGAAACAGATCTAGGTTCAAGTCCTGGCTCTGCACTTGCTAGTTGAGTGGACTGAGTTCCTTCATCTGAAAAACAGGTTAGGGTTGCCTACCTGGGGCTATGTATAGATCAGTGACACACTATAGGTGAAGTCTGAAACATAAAGGCTCCCTAAATGGTAGGCATCATAATTACCCTTAAAATAGCCTTCTGGGTGGGTTGTCCTCATCTCTCCAGACTGAGGCTACTGCATCTGATATTCTATGAGGTTTATGACCAAAGTGATGGGGTTCGTTGAAGTTGTTTTCTAATGTCAGTGGTCCCAAGGAACACAGTGTCATAACAGCTGGGCCACTGGATAACCTTTCTAACCTTCTTACCTTCGATCAAAGGTGACAGAGGTGACTAAAAAGCTGGCATCACTTTATTTTGGATGTCCCCAGAGGCAGCAAATGTTTGTCCTTGATTTTTGGAAACAGTCAAAAGTCACCAAGTCAAGCCCTGTGAATACAGTTCAGCTGGTGGTTCTGCTCAGGGTAGGAGGCAAATCCCTGTGTCTTGCACATCACTGCTCCAGTGACATAATCACCAAGGCAATGACTTTGAAGGTAACCCATGAATTGGGATCCCTAAGTCATGGCTTTCTGTTTGTCATCCTCACACCCTAACAACCTTATATACCTTGAGGGATTTTTTCTTTAAAAAAAAAATTTTTTTATTGATTTTAGAGAGAAAGAAAGGGAGAGGGAGAGAGCGATAGAAACATTGATGAGAGAGAACATCGATTAGCTACCTCCTGCATGTCCCCCATTGGGGATTTGGTCTACAACCTGGGCATGTGTCCTGACCAGGAATCGAATCGGCAACCTCTTGGTACATGGATCAATGCTTAACCACTGAACCACACTGGCCAGGCTTGAGGGACTTTTTTTTTTATCCTCACCCGAGGACATTTTTCCATTTTTTGTTCAGACAGAGTGGAAGGGAGAGAGAGAGAGAGAGAAACATCGACGTGAAAGGGACACATCGAGTGGCTGCCACCCGCATGACCAACCAGGGCCAGGGACAAACTGCAACCAAGGTACGCGCCCTTAATGGGAACCGAACCCAGGTCTCTCTGGACTGCAGGCCGACGCTCTAACCGCTGAGCCAAACTGGCCTGGGCTTGAGGGATTTTTTAAATAAAGTAGCAGATGGTTCATTCCTGGGTTTCAGCACCAAAAAATAATAAAAATAAAGAAAGCTGGAGAACTCTGGCCAGTGTTACTCAGTAGTTAGAGCTCTGGCCTGTGCACCAAAGGGTTGCAGGTTCAATTCTTGGTCAAAAGTATGTACCTGGGTTGCAGGTTTGATCCCCAGCCGGGTCATGGTGCATGTAGGAGGCAACCAATTAATGTGTCTCTCACATTGATGTTTCTCTTCCTCTCTCTCTCCCCCCTCCCCCCCTCCCTTCTACTCTAGAAAGAAAGAAAGAAAGAAAGGAAAGGGAAGGGAAGGGAAGGGAAGGGAAGGGAAGGGAAGGGAAGGGAAAGGGAAAGGGGAAGGGGAAGGGGAAGGGGAAGGGGAAGGGGAAGGGGAAGGGAAGGGGAAGGGGAAGGGGAAGGGAAGGGGAAGGGAAGGGAAGGGGAAGGGAAGGGAAGGGAAGGGGAAAGGGAAAGGGAAAGGGAAAGGGGAAGGGGAAGGGAAGGGGAAGGGGAAGGGAAAGGGAAGGGAAGGGAAGGGGAAGGGAAGGGAAAGGGAAGGGAAGGGAAAGGGAAGGGAAGGGAAAGGGAAGGGGGAAGAGCGAGCACCAGAGTCCAGCCGTTGTGGCTCAGTGGCTGAGCACTGATCCACGCACCAAGAGGTCACCGGTTCGATTCCCGGCCAGGACACATGCCCTGGTTGTGGGCCAAATCCCCAGTGAGAGGCATGCAGGAGGCAGCCAGTCGATGTTCTCTCCCATCAGTGTTTCTATCTCTCTCCTTCTCATTTTCTCTCTCTCAAAAATCAATAAAGGAAAAAAAAATTAGAAAGAAAGAAAAAGCAGCAGAGGCACATGGCTGACATGTTACTGCTGCCTGCAGTGTGTTAGTAGTGGCCGCAGGCACCCCTAGCACCCCTAGCACTCCTAGCCCTGGTAGAGCCCAGATACCTGAGGTGGGAGGAGTCATCATCTGAGGCCAGAAGCCTGTACAAACAGCCTTTGCGGTTGCTCTGATTCCAAACCATGTTACCCTTGGCCCAGAGAGGTACCACTGATGAGATCGTGGATTAAGGGGACAGTGCTGATAGGTCTAAGTCCCTTGCAGCAGTGGCTGTACTCTAGAGTAGATACCTGAGCTGGTCATGAGACAGGCCACTTGCCCCAAGGCATCAGCTCTTAACTGATAACATTTTCCCTTGCAAAAGTGGTGACCACAAATTCTTTTGGCCCAAAAGATTTTGATTAAAAAGACTGGAGGGCCCTGGCCAGGTGGCTGAGTTAGTTAGAGCATTGTGCTGTACACCGAAAGGTTGTGGGTTCAATTCCTGGTCAGGGCACATATCCAGGTTGTGGGTTCAGTCCCCAGTCAGGGTGCATACAGAAGGCAATCGATCAATGTTTCTCTCTCACATCAATGTTGTTGTTTTTTTCTCTCTCTCTCTCCTCTTTCCTCCTTCTCTAAAAGAAAATCAATAAACATACTCAGTTTAAGAAAGACTGGGAGGTTCAAGAGAATCCAAGATGGGTCTTAAGCATGGATGGGACCAAGCACTGTCACCAGACCCAGGGACTTCTCTGGCCATTCCTCCTTTCTCAGCACTTTTCTAGGAGACCAGATTGAAAGATCCATGGCTCTTCTCCTGTACAGCGTGGCCAGCTTGTACACTCACACCTTGGCCCAGTGAGCACTTTTTGGAGCCCAGGCCCCTATGTGTACTGAGGATGTAAACACAGATAAGACCACTCCTGCCCTCAGAGGTTAGCTTTCTGGGGGCTCAGACAGACCCAAATAGACATCAGGGCAACAGATGAATGGGTTGTTGTTTTTTAATCCTCACCCGAGGATATTTTTTCATTTATCTTCAGATAGAGTGGGAGAAAGAGAGAAAAACAATGATGTGAGAGAGATGTTCGACTGGTTGGCTCCCGCATGACCCCGACAAGGGCTGGGGATGAACTGCAACAGAGGTACATGCCCTTGACCGAATCGAACCTGAAACTCTTCGGTCCACAGGCCGAGGCTCTAACCACTGAACCAAATGGCCAGGGTGATGAATGGGTATTTTGGCAGCCATGCAAGGGCCATCCATTCAGTGTGACAAAACACAAGGTGGATGGGTTGGGGCAGGGGTGGGGCAGGCAGGGTGGAGAGAGAGAGAGAGAGAGAGAGAGAGAGAGAGAGAGAGAGAGAACGAGAACGAACATGTGCACAGGCTCCCCTGGGGAGGTACAGGGTCAGATCACAGGGGTCAAGGTAAGGAAGCTTGAGCACTGTTGAAAGAGCCACAGGGAGTCACAGGAAGTTTAAAGCAGGAGAGTGACAGAAAGGTGACAGGGTTTCAGAAAGCTTTCTAGTCACAGTGGGGAAGCAAGCATGAGCAAGAGAGGAAAGGGTTTGGGGGGCTGTGATACCACAGCAGCTCAGCTCCCTGTACTTTGGGAGGAGATGGTTGGGAGGTGGAAGTCAAGCCCACAAGCTCCCCCCTGCCCACCGAATGCCTACAGCTGTATCTTTGGTGGAGTGAGAGATATGTAAGCCTTGATAAAAAAATCTTCATGCACCTTCTGCTGCCACAGAACAAAGCACAGAGTCAAGATGACAGAGAGAGAGGGAGAACCAAAGGGAAGAGGCTCCATGGAGTGTTAGAGCCAAAGGCAGCTGCCACCTTGGTAAGCTAAGGACCCACCTGGCTTTTAAGGGGAGGTAGAGGGGATGTGTAGGCCCCTCCCTTCTCCCAAAAAGGTGAAGCCCATTGCCAGGATAACAGTAATCTGTTCATGTTAACATTCACTTGCTAAAAGCCTAAAATAGCATTTTCCAAATAAAGTTAGGCTACCTCAATTTATTTAAATGAGGGAATCCTTAACACTTCAAGTTCTCATGAAAACTGTAGAACATGCAACTGTAGAATATAGTTGCATAACTGATCCACTTCCCTCTTGCCCACCTCTGCTCCTACGAAAAAAATATTTAGGAATGTGATTCTGAGATTCATGCATGCATAGTGTTGTCCAAAGAGTCAAACTTAGGGGGAAAGTACCACCCCTGGAGACGGCATTCCTGGATTCCTGCAAGATGGTTGAGGATTTCAGGAAAGAATCAACTCAATTACTAAAGAGGTTTGTGGAGAGAGGCCACAAAACTGGGAGGGTCAGAGGAGAGGCTTAGAGGGCCTAGAGACCTGAGCCACCAACGGGGAGAGGCAGGTTGGAGCAAAGAATGAGGGCTAAGCCCAGAGATGGAGCCTGGTTCCATTCCTGCACTGCCCCTCAAGATTGAGTAACCCAGGTAGGGGGTAAAAACTTCATAAAGCCACTTCCTTGGGTCTCTCCTTCACTCACCTTTCAAAAAAATTAGCTGGAAGGCAATTTGGCAATGTCTACCAAGCTTTAGAACACATATACCCTTAGGCCCACATTCCATTTCTAAGTATTTATTCTATATATATACTCACAAAGGACACAAAGATACACAGCAGTCTTGTTTGTACTAATAAAGGACAAAAGTAGTGTAAACAAACTATGGCACATCCACCCAATGGAATGCTATTCAACATCAAAAACAAGGAGGAGGAAATGACAGGCAAGTGGAAAAGCAAAATGTGTAATGGCTGTAGAGAGTGCTACCATGTGAGCAAAAACAAAGGCGGGTGGACAGACGTCTGTGTTCCCATATGCACAGGTTCTCTCTGGAAGGAAATACAAGAAAGCAAACATCAGGGCAGCCTTTGGGAAGGGGATTCTAGTGGCTGAGAGTGAGACAGAGATTTGCTTTTACTGTGTCCTCCATGGAACTGTTTGAACTTTTTAAAAAAAACATGTGCATGTACTGCTTTTGAAAAAAAAAATCGTCAAATAATAAAGAATTGAGCAGTGTCACCTCTTGCCCTCTGGGCCCCACTAGGCTGCCCTGTGGGCCAAACATAGTCATGTGACCCAGACAAACAAGGAACTCCTGACTGACAACCGTGCAACAGGAGTACTCAGTTTTAGTTCAATGCTTTCTCAGTCTCAAGAGCAATTCTGACTTGTTCAGCTGCAGAGGTGTGAGGAAAAGCTTCAGAGCTCCCTATGAGCTCTTGGGGATCTTGTCCAAGCCAGAATCAGACAACCAGACAGAAGAGTTGCTGGTCAGGACCTTGTTCTAGTCCAAGGGCCAGCTCAGCTCCTCATGATTTCTGAACCCAAAGCAACAATACACGCCACAGAAAGGTTTTGCTCCCAACCATCTTTTATTTTGGCTAGAGGATTTATGGTTGCCATGCAAGTGATTTTCTAT